ATGGCGTTTCACTGTCAAGGGGAGCGTGTATGTAATTACCTTGCAAATACTGACTTGAGCCCCACCACTGTATGGGTTAGCCGCCCGAGTTTTTACTTTCAACGTCAACTTATCTGCTTTACTCTTTAACTAAACAACCGCGGATGTCTTGAAAGACTCTTTCGCTAAAGATTTTTGAAGATATCCGCGTTCTTGTGACACGTAAATACTGCGCTCCGGGGTTCACACCTCCGAGACCACCTATTTTTTAGCGGACCAGAGTCCGGTTGTTTAGTTCACTTAAGAGGTCTCGGACTGTGTTCACACCGACCCAAATGAACCGCACCAAGCGGCTAAACGCACCAGGGTTCGATTCAACCGGACTATACAAGGCAGGTGTGAACGCACCCTAAACCTATCCTCCCTGCCACATGGTGAAGTAGGATTAAACGGAAATTAATGAACTTTACCCCGGAAGCTTTTCTCTTGTTGTCTTTTGCCTGGCCCTTGCTTTCAGTTTGTATTTTTCACACACATTGAGCTCCATAGTCGTTCCTAGTTCTTCTGAATATCACTCATTTAATTACAGCTAATACACTTGCTACAGGTTACTTATGTTGTGGCAGATATTTAAGTAAGCTTTCTTAATGCTAATGTTATAATAGTCAGATTGCTCTGAAGATGGGAGGTGATATTCTATTAATGTTGTCGGTGATTTTTGCCGGCCGTCTTTCCTGCAACGGCAGCTTTTCTGTCTCCTATAATATGAATTGATCGCTTTAAACTCCACACACTGAGCTCTGATTGGTCAGCAGGCAGTGCTTTCACTGAGTTGAGCTCAGCCTGAGTTACCATGGAGATCTAGCCTGCTAAAAAGAGAACCAGCTTCGTAGGACCGGAAACCCGAGTTTTCCCTGAAGTTAGCCGGCTAAGCGAAAATCCTGCTTCGTAATATACCCCCCAGGTCTCCCTTGAAAAAGAGATCAATGAGATACACCTGGATAAATAAAGGTTTGAAATGAAACCTGAACCTTTTTAATAAAGGATGTTATTTCACTCTGCTCCTCGGTATTGTACCGACAGACTACATGGTCAAATGCTGGGGGTTTGAAATTAACCATATAATTCATTCGACAAAAAACAGCATACTAGAAAGTGGTGGTATGAGTGTTTTATTTTCAAATCAATCCAGAAGTTTGTGTAACCATATTAATCCAACCTGCGTAAGGAGATGCTCAAATAGTATGCAGTTGAAGGAAAGCCATCTTTCAATCACACACTGTCGTGCCTTTAATTTGAAATCAAAAACGGGGCAAATCCTAGGATCAAAAACAGCAAAAGCCAAGTTAAAACCGTATTCAGTGACCAATTGTGTTAGGGTCACTCAGCCTTGCATGGTGCTGCGGTCCTTAATGCGAATAAAAGTAAATTGTTCAAGAATGTTTCATGATTCCAAATACTGCTCCTTCAGTCTGTTATTGGGGCCGGTTGGAAAGCAGCATCCAATTAAAAAGCAGATGATTGTCCGAGAAGTTACTGTAAGAGAGAGAAAACTTCAATTATTCCTGAAATGTATCTTTATTTTCCAACTTTAATATATGTATATAAGATTTATCAATTATTCCGCAAGAGAACAAAAATATCCATTGCCTCGTGTAGGTATAGTCAGATTCAAGTAATTGTTGAGGTTTTGTCCGAAGCCCAGGAACTTTAACCGCAAGCAGCTTAATTCCAACCTCATTTTTATTTAGAGCTGCATCACAATAAAAAGTTACTTTCTGAAATGTATGTGCATCTGCAGTTTTAGTGGAGTACTTACGCATTTCTCTTCAATCAGACCATCTTTGAAGAAAAGCATAAATGGGGTGATCCCGTCTTCACGGTAGTCCAGCAGACCCACCAAGCCTTCAGAGTCTAAACTCTCTCCTGTGAAGAACTGCAGGAAGACAAAGACCACCCGTTAGAGCACACGCCACGGTTTTTAAGTGATGTTAGTCATGAGATAACTAGTGTTAAGCCCCGAAAATGAACTTCCTAGAACAAATTACCATATCTTCACTTCTAAAAAGGGGTAAATTAATCATCTTTTTTCTCAAAGCAATGATAAACCTGTGAGTTGGATGTAGAAGAGTCTCAATCAATAGATGTTTATAAAAAAAGTTTTGTTTCGGTAAACGGTCTTCATATCATCAGTTAGCTAAGTTTCTTCCCGTTAAGTGAGTATGACACATTAATAGTTTATTACATTTTAAGAAGCCCTGAGACAGTTTCGTGAAAAAACGGGGGAGAAAGCCTGTTGCCCTAGCCGGCGGGGGCTATGGGGCTTAACAGGTTAAACAGTTGCCATTTGGGGTGACATTGAGCTCAAATTTTCGTAATTATATACCTCGTAGTTGGAAAAGTTTGCCACGATCTTCTTGATTGCGTCCGGGGCTTCAGCCTTGAAGGCCTCCACCCTGTCCGGGTTTTCCTTTTCCAAGTGGGTCTTAATGCTGTAGAAGCAAAAAATAGGATTGTGTTAGATCAAACCAACCTGCGATGGGTTCATGTATCCAACTAGATCTCTCGATCCTTGGTTCATTGTACCATCAATTAAACTCACGCTTTAACATATCCTTTTATGTATGCCATGAAGGATTTCTTGGTGAATTCGACTCTTTGCAGGCTGTGGTTGAGGACGATGTCGACGCCAGAAATGGTAGACGAGTCATTGCCATCAGTCATCTCTTCAGCAGAGGCGTTAGCCCCAATCAGCGCATCATCGAAGCCCTCTGTCCTGGTGACGGTCTAAAGACATTAGCAGGGGAGCAGAGGACAGCAATGAAAAAGACTGCTTCACTTTATATAGAAAGGACCAAAATGTGCAGACACGTCAACTAAATTGAAATGCTTAGCACAGCTTTGGCACAAACGCATCAGACTTGAAGGCCCAGCCGCTTTACCAAGAATCCAGCCAAAAATCAGACCTGTGTTAATTGTACTTTATAATATTCAGAACCTGACAATAGCGTGTGAACGAGGGCTGGGTGTGACTTCAGTTAGCTCATCGTAAAGTAATGTTTGGACCCTCCCCCTGAGTCATCCAGATTGGTATTGCCTTTAAACGACAACGGGAGCACTAATTACATGACTGATGATGTGTCACATGGTATGAATCAGATTATGGAAGAGTTACTTCATATTATTATGACAATGGATAACTGCCACGGCAGTTCAAATTGTGTTTTCACACACATTTGCTTTGTTAAACACCTCTTCTTGACTCTTAAGTGTGAATATTAAAACAATTAAATGCTGTCAATATCCCATAAACTCCATTCCATTTCACTAGCTGTTTTTCATTATGTGCCACAGCGAGCTGGGGCTATCTTTGAGCCAGTCGGTACTAAAGGCCCTTAGCTTTTAACAGAAGAGTTCAGCTCATATTCAACCTTAAAAACAATCAGTTGTTCTGTATTTACCAATATCCCATAACACTCCCTGTGAGGATATCTAAACGTCTTTTTTTTTTAAACAGAATACTTTGGTGTGAAACATGCATTTTAACAAAAGACTAAGTGACAATGGAAACAAAGCTTGTAACGCACTGGCTCGCCTCGCTTGGCGCTACAGTGGAAACTCTGCTATTGTGACGTTGCACACGCCTGACCGCAGGAAACGTCTGATTCAAGCATTTAGATCACTTTTACCCGCAAACCCAATAGACTCACCTTTCCTTCAACTTCATAGAACAGTCCGCTTATTGACAGTTTGAAGGTGTTGGAGAACATCTCATCACCTGCGGAAGGATACAAATGACACTTTAGAAAACATACGCCTGCTGGGAAACCCCCTGGTTGCGCCATTAAATACATCTCCACAGCTCAACAGCTAGCTTTAACTCCTCAGCAGAAGCTTCCTAACATGTTTAAACATCATTAACGGGAGCCGGTTGGGGCTTGAAATAAAAAAAGGGGGAAATTGTGTCACTTTTCCTAGTACTAATGGCCAATACTTTAGCCACGTATAGCCCGTAACTTTTTCATGACCAAGGCGGTTTTCAGTTGCTTAATATTCTCCACCATCGTCCTGTATCAAATAGTTATTTTGCCTTTAGTTTTCCGTAGTGATGAGTAACACGGTAACGATTAGCCACTGTACCGGTCTATATAGAAACATCGACAAAGATTTAAGCTAACCGGCCTTAGTGTCACCGGTTGTATTTGCCAAAACTGGGCATAGTCAAGGTGTTATAGATAGCCTTCAGCTAATGATGCCGGCGATGATAACACGCGTTAAAGAGCTAACGGTAGCTAGCCGGGTAACTCTTAAATAACACGACACAGCCTTAATAACAGCCGTTACCCAATAACGACACAACACTTCACTAAACACGATGACTTACCGCTGATGACATCCTTGTAGATGTTCATGGTTGCTGCTTAGGTGTTGGAGTTTCACAGACAGAACGCAGGCCTGCCGCCCAAACAGCACGAGAGAGGGAAAAGAGCGAAGAGGCCGCGACGCTGTGTATTTACATTCTCCTGACGTCACCCTGGATCGGCCTGTTCCGGTCTGTTCCCGCGCGCTCTGCTGCCACCCTCACGTGGTGGTCGGAGGTAGTACTACACCTGCCGGTCTGTGCACTGTCATCAGAATTCCTATATTCCTCCTACAAAGGGAAAATGTACGTTGTTACACCAAAGTATAGATTTAACAAAGTTGCCAACAGTTTTAGACTCAGTGAAGGGGGAGGGTGTGTTGTTTGCAAATCATTGAAGAAAATAATATATAAATAAAGACTATCATATACAAAAGGCATGCACATAGTATTTAAAATAAAAATAAAAACAATTCAAATGTACAAACAGAAGTCCACATTCAAGTAGTGAGTAGTAGCAGCAGTATTTATAATATACAATAAGGTTAGCACTGTAGAATGAAGTGTGGTATACATTAATACAATTATTATTGCAAATAGTTGCGTAAATATCCCTGTTACAGTAATGGCTGGACTTGGCATGAGTAGCAGGTAGTAATACAAATATCAGTGTTTTCCCCCCAGGTTTACTGCTTTGGGGACGGGCGGGGGACAGGGGGGTGGCATTGGGATATTTTGGGATATTTTTTTTTTTAATCCTCTTGAGCAGAGAGAGGAGCTGTGGATTATTGTTATTGATTAGTGCATCAGTGTTTCTTATGGTCAAAAACACTAAACTCACAACTTAAAATGAAAGCGTTTAGCACATGTGCAATGTAAAAAGTGACAGTAGATATAAATTACTTGCAATTTGGTTCCAAATATAAAAAAAAAATTTATAATTGTATTTTTTAAACACCTTGAATTTCAGGGGGGGCGCGGGGCTCCGTTGACAGGGCGCAGCGCCCCTCCAAGACAATGGTAGGGGAAACACTGAATATATTAGCAGCATATATTGCACATAGTTGTTGCTGTATTTGTTTGTTTTTACATGATTGCACATTGGTGGTATTTTACAACAGAGGTGCGGTCTACCAGGGGCCGTGGTGGTTGTAGAGCCGGACCACTGCAGGAAGAGGGGACCTGCGCTATTCAGAATCAGATTTCCTTTATTTGTCGAGGACATTTACGGTTTTACAACTGCAAGACTGCAGTTAGTTAAAGTAGACTTACATATTATATAAAAGGCACAATAAAAACTACAATAACAATTAAAAAAAAACAAATAACAGATAAGCAATACAATTTTTCAAAATGTTATTCAAGTAAAAGTAACAAAATATTTTACATCTCAACATAATTAAATATAACTAAATGACAAAATCATTTATATCGTATGATTTGATTATAATCATTGATCTATTCATGTGTTAATCAAGCTTGTAAAGGTGGAACACGTTTTTATTATTTTATTTACTACTTGGTAGCATGGGAATGTAATCCAGGTGTAACAAAAGTCGGTAACACTTTATATTAAGGTACACAAATGAACCATCAACTAGTTGTTAATGAACATGCATATTGGCAGTATATTGGCTCTTTAGTAGTCATAATAAAACACTTATTAATGCCTTATTCTACATGACCATATTCTACAAGTAATAAGCCATAAGTTAAGAGTTTTTCCTCAATAACCCTCTAATTAGTGCTTATTTGTTGCAAGTAAGGAACTTATTGTACATGAGTTTTGGTCTTAATATGCGCTGCCCAATATGGGCCTAATAAGGCAGTAGTACCACAAGAATAGTAATTCTCCCATAATAACACTTAACAAATATGATCTATTCTTATTGATAAAAAAGAAAGTAAATACATTTAAGGAAATATGGGACACATTCATGCACTTCTTTGAAAGTGATCAAATGGAAATTGATGAGTGAAATTGATGGATATCGCTATCAAACACTGATAAATAATAAGGAATAATAACAATGCTGCTTATAATAATAACGATAATAATTATCTCTAAATATAGAAACAAATTATTCTTTCATATACATTTTTTCTATTATTGTTTCACATCCTTTACTTATATCTGATTGTATTTACTCCTGTTTCATGTCAATCTGTGAGGTTTCCCTGAATGTCCGATGTTGAGGATGGGGGGAGGGAAGGGTTATTTTCCCATGTTTCAATGTATGTATGTATGTATGTATGTATGTATGTATGACTGTATGTTCTTTCTATGTTGAAAAACCCAATAAATATAATGAAAAAGAAAAAAAATATTGCAATATGGTTTTTTGAGCTGGAGATGATTATTGAAGCTTACTGGTTAACGTTCATCATATTAAACGAACAAACCCAAACCTTTTTGTTTTTATTAATATTATTACCAATACTTACTTAGCCTTATCATTACACTGGAGAAACCGACTTATTGTGGCAGCAGAACGTGAACATGTAATTTACAGATGTAGCACTGAATTTCGGACTCCAGTTTACAGCTTCCTGCCTACGACCTGCCAAAGACCGGTATAGAGGAATGTTAAGCCCTCCCACTATTTTCCAAGAGGGCGTTGCCAGATTTTCTATTTCAGGTTTTAACCAGGAGATGGCGCTTCATTCACAAATACAGAAAGACAAGTTTCATGGACTTTCAGTTGTGTTTTGAAGAGCATTTGAACACATCCATATTTTAGATCAACTAAAGTATATCTAATCTTGTAATTCAATAATATATAGTCTTTATATATTAAATAATCATAATGTAAATGTTTACATTACACTTCTTTATTTGTTATGCTCATACTTTAAACTTTACAATTGTTTGCTTTAATATGCAGTATATTTTTGTGTTTGCTTCCTCCTGCTCCCTTTCGGACACATACTGTATGATTTATTATTATTATTAATATGAAGATATTATTAAGATAAGATAAGATGTTACTTTATTGATTGAACATTTTAGTTTAGAATGTGCTGTCCACGGTAATTCAGAAGGCTCCTGAGACTGCCAAGG